GCAAGCAGTAGTCAGAGGCGACTCAATAGCAATAAGGCTTCCTCTGAAGTAAGGCAGAGGTTTAAAAGTAGTTGAGATTGTAGTCCAGAGAGAGAACAGGACTTTAATACCTCCTGTTCCTTTCTGAGTCCGCCAGTGATCCCGTGTTAGACACTGGATGCTTTACACCAACCGTTCCCTTTCCCACTCTAATAATCTATTTGCATTTTTAATGTTTGGGTGGGGACCCTTGCCTGACTGTAAGCTATGAGCACAAAGCAGCACCGACCTTCGCTACAGTCTGAGTGTGACCTTGGTATTCATTTCACTCAAAAAGATACCTGTAAGACATTACTTAAATTGCAAAGTCAAGATCTCAAAGCAAGCTTAGGAAATGACATCAAGTTTTTCATACATACGGAATAAGGACCCATCTTTAATAACATTTTTCATTGTCTCATTCGGTGTGTAAAATGGACCGTTAACCGCACACTTAATATATCATGCCTTTCTTATAGTGTTCTATTCGCACCTTGCTCTGACATAGAATTATATTCCTCACCTTTCCACCCTTCCAAAAAATACTGGAAGGTCCTACACATAACCTCCTCCATTAGAGAGCTGCTACTCACTTTTAGATCAGCTCCACCCTATGAATTACATGACATGGCTTCTACCAAAAAAATACAGTATGCAACTATATAATTAAAATGCATCACATGGCATACATAAACAGGAAAGTATGGATTTTTACTGCAATTTGAATATAAGCTTTTTTCAAATCTCATAAGCACTTGTACTTGAATTTTATTCCCAAATGTATTCTAAGACATCTCTTTTGAGTAGCCTTTAGCTCTCGGTTCACTACATATTGGATAAATGTCCATCTACAAATTTTAGATGAAGCAATCCACTTCAAAAAGTAACTCAGATTATCGTGGCCGTGTAGGTGAAGCTTTACAGAGTTCCCATCAAACTCCTGTAAGATTTGCACATCCAACTGTTGAGCGCTTTTCAAAACTCCAGCTACAGCTTAAAAACACCAAACACAACATGGTATTAATTCTACAACAAGTGTTAATATTCTATTTTTAAACACTGTATAGGGGTGACCCAAAATCAGCTTTGATCTCCATTGGTATCAAAGTATCTTCAGTTACTACTACAAAATTTCATGCCAGACCCAAGAGTTTCTTTCTAATTTCTTTACCGGTTTAAATAAATAGGTGCTGTGGAAGTTTACCTTTTTTTTGTAATTCACTTACCACAAAAGCTCAGATCCAAACCAGCATGCACTTGTTCAGAATCTATCCCTTAGCTCCTTTTCATCGTGAACAGAAGCAGAAAATCATGCGACTCATGCAGATCACACATTCAGCAAACAAACGCTAGAATTGGTACGTAAGGTCTTCCAAGTTCTCTTTTTAAGGTCATTCACAAGCTCTTTGTCTGTCACAGGTTATCACTTGCAACTTGGCTTCTTAGCTGAACTTGGCTTCAGTAAAAGCTGGAACTGGGCCTACAATTTTGGAAATGAAGTCAACAAACCCCAGGAAGTGAAGGGAAGGCTATTCATTTCTACACTTGAAATTAAAAATTTACTCATCAAATTGCCCAGATCCAGTTTTCTGTAACATCTCCCTGAAGGAAATCATCAGGAGCTAAACTGGAACTTTAAACAAAAGGCTTACAATACAAAATGCCAACAAAACCCAGCACGAGCAATAGGCCAGCCTAACTCAAGGGCAGGCAGCTGACAGCGAGGGGCAGGGGGCCTGGGGCAGCCCCTGGGCTGCCCCGCACGCCTCCGACCCAGCACATCTAAGGCGTTCTCCGATACACGCCGGTTTTAACTCCTTCTAGCAAACTAGATAATGACCAAAAAAAAGGTAACCACAATGTGTTAGATCTGCCATCTCTATACACACTTCGGCATTCTTTTTATTAAACTGACACTGCATTTGATCTTGACCGGTATGTCAGTTAGTCTCTGTAAACAGGACAAGTTTAATTGCTTTCATTGCCAGTTTGGATGCATTTCAAGAAATGTCAGCACTTTGTGGGCATCATTACAGCTTTATTGTTGCATTCAGATCATAAAGAGGCAGTTATAAAAGCCGTAGAAATTCAATTATGCAGATGAGATGCAATAGTAACTACAAAAGCTGTGCATTTCCTATCTGTGATGAGTCACCTATTTAGGAATGAAACTTCTTTGATGATTAGCTCTCATTTTGGAATACAGATCTCCATCACACAGCACTTCACTTGAGAACTGGTGTGTACAAACCTGTGTGAACATCTCGGTGTGGCAACATCCTTGGGACAAAGCAGGATTTAACATCCCAGCAGACAAACAGTAAAGACAATGGCAACAGGGTTTCTGCCAAAATATTAAGCAATGAAGGAAGGATGCTGGTTTACTTATCATCAGTTCACCGCCAGACATCTCGAATAAATCCTTACGAGGTGATCAAAACACCGAGACTGCAGTAAGACCAAACACCGACTGGTATTTCATCCATCAGTAAGAGAAGACAGACGTGAAACAACTAGTTAAGGATAAACCTATGTCCCACCTTCAGTAACTTCAAATCTATGGGAGAGTTTTTACCTTTTTTTCATGTTTCCTAGTTCTTATAAAACATCCAAATACAACTACAAGTATGCAAAACAAATTGTTTTCACTTAGATAAATATAGTAAATCAATACTAAAAAGGCTCACTGTGGCTGTCCTACCACCTGACAGAGCTGCTGCTGTAAGCCAGACCAAGAATTCCCCTCTTTAATCACAGTGCAACTATCACACTGCAGCGTATGTTACCACCACCCAGACGGGCCTGCAAAAACACTCAATGAGCAATGTCAGAACTTCGGCACCGCTGTACCAGATTTTTCCCTATCAGCCGAAATCCAGGGAAAACTTTGTTATGGAGAGGATAACACGTTCAAGGAATGACGTACCATCTGAGAAAATAAACAGGGAGTTCTCACTAAAGAATCTTCCCCAAACAGAAGTGTTCATTTGAATAGACAACTACATAAAATAGTAACTTACTACTGATTAGTAATGAACATGCTAAGAAATTGGCTACTGTAATACCGTTAATGATGTCACATTATTCCACCCAACTGCCACACTAATATGGACAGAGATGCTTCCAGCTCCACCGCAGGAAGCAGAACGCACATCTTGGTGGCGGAAGCCAACCTTCGAAAATTCTCAGAGCCAAAGCTCTTTGTGTATTTTTTAAATTAAACAATTTTACAAGTTTAAAGCATACAAAAATAGAACACCAAAAAAAGTTTAAGTGGTGTGTGTAATTTTAATTAAAAGAGTTTACATTTATTAACTGGGTCACAATTAAAACCAGAAACCTAAGAGTAACTCTGAAGTGTCGAATGGGTATAAATTTGTTTCACTGAACTGGGTGCAGAGCACTAAAGGATGCAAGCACACTTAATTCCTTCTAGATGTACATTGTTCCATTTCTCCTGGTACATCTGGTTTCCATACAAAAGGCAAGTTTCCCACAAGTTTTTAAAAAGTTTACTTTATTGGTTACAGTTATATAAAATGTGGCATGATAGTTCCATCTAGTTGGTCATTAAGGGCTTGCAGCACTACAGAGACTCTTTAAGACATCTGCAACTTATAGGATGTATTGCATGCTGGAGGAGAAAAATCCATCTTCAGTTGCTTACCTGCATTTACAGTATCTTCAGCAAGGCTACAATGTTCAAAAGCAATGACAACCCCACTTTTATGTCAAATTGTAATTTTTAATGTTTTCATTAGAATAGTCTTTATAGCACTCTTCAAGAGAAGAAACAATATAACTAACAGCAAACTTTAATACAGGAACATGCTCCAAGATTAACAACCCAAAATGAAAACAAAATGAAATTAATGTAAAATGTAAATCACATATAGTACAATTGAAGTGTCCAAAACAATTTAAATAATTTTAAATATTTTATTTTTTAAACTTGCTACAAATGCTTTATACAATATTTCAACATAAAGTCCCCATAACAGAAATGTAACAAAATGGGAATGATAGTGAAAGTGAAAGTTAAAGTGGCACAAATTCACCAAACAAGTATTAAACTACAAATTTTAAGAGGTAGATTACTTTTTAAGTCAAGAACAAAAAATAAAGGGGGTGGCTGTATAAAGAAACTAAGTCACTTTCCATCAGTTCTGTCATTAATCTTGAAAGCTATATGAACACATGACAAACGGTATTTCCATAAAAAGCTGTTACGAACAACAGACCAATTTGTTGTCTTAAGTTATTAGATAGAGGTGTACGACCTTTTAGAGTAATTATATATATAACTTTCAAAATATACAGGTATGTAGTCCTGGTCTAGCCTTCTTATCAATAAAAAGATACACTGCATTCATTATATATATGGTATTTAGAAACTGGTAACGGTATTTCATTGCTATATAAAGTTTCATTTGCATGTATAAATACAAATTTGGAAAATCCATAAAACATCCAAATCGGGCTTTTCCCCATTATATGCTGGACATCTAAAAGACTCAGAGAGCGAGGAGAAGGTGGGAAGAAAAGGAAATTCTGTCGTCCTAGCTTGGCCTCTACTGATTCATTTAGACAAAAGGCTTTAAGAGACTTAATATATGACAAAAATACTTTGAGCGTAGCAACATTTGTTGTCCCTGAAACTACACTGAATTATCGACAAAATTAAGGAACCTGCTTTGCCAAGTATACAACCGAACTGCCTGTATGCCATTCATGAAGGACCGGACAAAACCAGGATCTAAGCAAACATGAGAGCAAAAGATTTGGTTTAGCTAATCCCACTACTTCTTTTGATAGATTTGTGCGGGTCTTGTTTTGTTTTGAATAGTACCCTTCTCTTATCTGAATCATCCTGTAGCCCAGCGTGCGTGTCAGGCACAAACTAAGAACATCTATGCCTCACGCTGAATGTTAGCAAGCAGCCTGCAGGCAATTTTATAATTGTGAGTCAGCTTCAGCTGGTTTCGCAAGCTCGGTGGATTTCACATCCATTGTCGTAGTGCTTATCCTAAGTTGAGCATGCAACAGCTCTACCATGTCATTAAGGGTTTTTTTGTTTTGTTTTGTTTTTACAGGAGATTCCTAGAAAATAAAAAAAAAAACAAAACTGAAGATAAATGACAAAACAAACTATTTGTGAACGGAGTATGTTTACACAGAAAAACTGAAAGGTGAAAAACAAATCCAGAGACAAATATTACATGAAGCAAGTCTTGAAAAAATACTAAGAATTAAGATTTCCCAGGGCGGGGGGAACCAAAACCAACAGTGCCTACACAGAGCAGAACTGGTTAGCCTGTGCTGACATCAGTGTATGAAGGCAAAAAATACTTCATACTACATACTCAATATTAAAAAAAAAGTTGACTAGACAATCTAGATTTATGAACATTATTTCAGCAACAAAAAGAAAGAATTCTTCTAGCACAACTATTCATTAAACCAGTACAGACTGCAAGCTGCCAAAGTAAACTAACAGTATTTGAGACAATCAAGGAAACGTTACCCCTAGGTAAATTGTTATTTACCCCAAATGCTATTAAACAATTTCCATATGCACAGATTTCCAAGTACTCTGTTTTATTTTGCTTAAGGTCAAATGATTAATTTAGATGGAAAGATGTGTCGTTCTGGCTTCAAATTCTACTGATCTGTTCTGGCACCGTGTAAAATACAGTCCCACACATAACACTAAGAGAGCAGCTGATGAGAATTAAGTAACATGAAGATGTTTATGTCCTAAGAGAACAGGCCTGGTAGACATTTCTTGTTCCTTAAAGGCATTTTTTACACCATTAGTCTCCAAATTCCAGCAACACCTTTCTCCTTCAACACATCCTAATTTGGGTCTTGACTATTTTAAGTCAAATTCCTCTCTACCACTTTGAAATAACTCTTTTATACTGAACCTTTGCTTTACAAAGTATTTCCTCGAAATTTTCACCTATGAGGTCTTCACCGTAAGACACACAAGCTGCAAAGAGTTTGGATTTTGACACTTCTTGACAAATTCTGCTAGGGGACACTTGCTCTGAAGAAGGCTGCCAGTTCCTCGCCCTCCTCTACTGTCAATTACTTTGATGAAAAAATACTACCTTCAGCCATAAATCGGGTGTTAATCACAGCCATGCACTGCAATTACCAAAACCAACAGAACTCTTAATTACCAGTGAGCTTTATACAAGTTACTCGGCAAATCACGTACCCTTTTCCAAGAAAAACAGGGCAGGAGCATGCTAATAAAAGTTACAAACACCTTGCAAAATATCCTCTTGATTTGAGAGACACTACATGAAGACGTAAATTGGGACTCAGGCACATAGATTAAGATTTGATTTATTTATTGAAGTATTACCCTTTCTTGTGATTAAAATGCTTCTCAAAAAGAAATAGAACTTTAATTATAAAATTTGCTTATACTGAAACATAAAGAGCATGATATTTCTAACAAATTTACACATTCATTTAACTTTTCTTACATGTCTATTTCCCTTATATTAGGTATTTGATGATCTGACTCAGTATGTAGATACATTTTTGAAGTATTTGGTCATGGGTTGTTTTTTTTTGTATGATATGCAGAGAATGCTTTTTATTAAAAACCAACAATGCAAGTTGTTTTAGGGAGTAAAAAACGAAGTCATGATTGTTAGCTTAGTGAACCGTCATAAACTAAATCTAGAATGATTTTGGGTCACCATGTATGTGAGATATCAAATACAAGGTCAGTGGCTCCAATAACATTAAGTTTATTTGCACTCAGGTACTGACATTTTTTTCCAGAGTTTTCAATTCAGTTTATAATTAAAGACATTCTCCATACAAACCATGTATTATTTCATGACAACATGACAAAATGCATCAAGTATGTACATCATACCTCAGCATGACTGAGCTACTTCACCATGTTTTAGGAAATGTAATCTTTTTTTTATTTAAGAATGAGAAACTCAAAAAAGACCAAGAAAATTGGCAAAACAGCAAGCAACGTGTTCCTGTGTTGTTTCAACTTCAAATTAAATGCTTACCTGAAATCTTTTAGTTCTTGCTTTGTACTGCTTTCATCTCTTTTGTTTTCTGCTGCCTCTGCATTTGCCGCCTGCTGCAGGCTTCGTGTAATAGGTCCTCCAATCCTCTCTCTAGATTTTACAGTAAATCTGTCTGCCTTTCTCTTACTTGCCACAGCAGACTTACTTGGCAAAACCGCTTTATTATTCCTTTGTATTCTGACGTGCAATTTCCGGGAGGCTTTGCTTGAGATACCAGAGGAACTGTTCTTAGCGACCACCTTCGTTTTTTTCCCATCAACGTGGGACATTTTGGACACTCTTACAGGACTAGAGTTCCTCAGAGACGAAGATGAATTTGGCTTTTTAGATCGAATAGGAGGTACAAATTTAACATTTTGTTTTGATTTGAAGGATGCAGAGGGAAGTTGGATTTGTGCAGGTCCTGAGGTTCGTGCTCTTGTCTTGCCCAAGTGAGGCTGCATGCTCTGCATTTTGATTTCCGCATCGGCTGTTCGCCTCCGCTGGTTGCCGCCTTTTTCACTGCTGGCAGGTGAAGAACTTGCACTTTTTTTGGAAGAATTCTTTTTAGAGGAGGGAGAGATGGGTTTTTTGGGACAGCTATATGATGCATGTTTGTTCAAACTTCCAATATAAGTAAACTCTCTATTACAGTAGGGGCAGATGTGAGAGTCGGACTCGGATGGATTATTTTTCAATTCTGCCTTCTGCTGGGCAGATTTCTTTTTTTGCAAGATAGCCTTCTGGACAAGCTGGTTCTTCTTTTTCAATGCACTTATTTTTAGTTTATTTGAGGACATTTTGCTAATCTCAACATTAAAATTAAGTCTTTTAGGCTGACCCATTCGTCTGAAGGCATTCTTTCCAGGGCCAGCTATAACAACCATGCCATTCTTAGGCTGCACTGTCTGTTTCAGTGGTACAGGATTTTTTTTAGGTGTGTATCTCTTTTTATCACTGGCAGATGCACAGGCCAATATGTGTTTGTGTAACTCAGGCATGTTATCAACACTCTTCCCGCATTTTGTGCATCGAATGGCAGTAGTAAAAGTCTGTGGAATATTGTGGGTAGTGAAGTTTGTCGCAGTAACTCCAATACCCATAGGATTACGATGATGATACTGAAATGGAGGTGGTTTAAAGCTTGGGTAGTGTTGATTGAGGCCCATACGGACATCCGGATCTTTAGATTTTACTCCAGAAGCCATTATTTTTATAGTAGTATAAAGCTCTTCGGAGGAATCATTTAGATCTTCATCTTCCTCCTCTTTAGAAGGTTCCAAAGAATCTTCTGGCAGGTTCTGCATGTGCTCCGCGTTCGCCTTACTGGGGTCAGTAAAATTCTGGGGTCTCAAAGTCCCACTTTCAAACTCATGATGTGTGCACTCTTTGTCTGGATGGAGATCCCGCTGATGCTGTTGCAAATTGCACAAAAAAGCAAATTCCTTTTTACAGACCGAGCAAACAAAGATATTTCCTACTCCATGAAGCAGAAAGCGATGTTCTGACAAGTCTGTTTTATCCCTAAAAAGCTGTACACAGAATTCACATTTGAAGGGCCATTCTTCAGCATGAATGGATAAATGCTTCGTTAGGTCTTTAATGGAAAGAAAAGGTGATTCACAGACATTGCACACAAAGCTTTTATTGAATGTTTCCTGTACTACTCCTGATTCACTTGAAGTATGAGGATCTTCTCTTGCTTTCTGTTGCTCATTTTCGGGTTCTTCCTGTTTTATTATTGGGAGACTATTTTCAAGATTATCAGCAGATGAAACAACAGAAGAAACTACAGAAAGAGGAGGTGGAGATGGAGATGATGAAGATGAAGAGGAGGAGAAAGAGGAGGAAGAGGAGGAGGAAGATGAGGAAGAGAGTGTAGGAGGACCAGGTGAAGCAGCAGAAATAAGAGGTTCAACAGAAGGAACAGGAGATGGAGAAGGAGAAACTGTCGGTGAAAGAACTGGTAGCGGGGACTGGGTAGTAGTGTTAGAAAGTGGCGATGGACAAGAAGAAGTGTTGGTGGCACTGGCAGAGACATCTGGAATTGATAACGGCATTGTCGGAAGGAGGGGAGGAGGTGATGTAGCAACTGTTAACACAGGCGGGCAGGGTGGCGGGGAAGGAGGATTGGTTGGTGTTAACAAAGGAGGCAGCTGGCACATGGAAGGTACAGCAGATGCCTGTGGCACAGGGGAAACGGAGGAACTAAGGGGCTGAGTGTCAACAGAAGACGATGCAGACAGACTGGGATCCGTGTCAGGTTCTGCCTGAGGCTCCAGGGATTTGCTCGGGCTCGCACTCCTGTTTACACTGAGTGTGCTGTCTGTGGCTGCATCCGTTCCATTATACTCATTCAGCAGAACCTTCTGTAACATGCAAGTGGTTGGTTTCTTCTTTTTAACACCACTACAGGTTGGCTGTACGGAATTTTCTTTATATTCCCTGATTTCAGCATCACCGCAAGGCTTCTTATGCACACTTAAATCTAAAACAGATTCCCAGGGAACCTGATTCTTATTTTTGACGTCAGACCTTTGTTTCACACCACTGGATAAATCCAGTGGCTGCTGGTTGCATACATTGCCAAAAGTTGGAGCTGCTGTCCAGTCTTTTGATATTTTATAGTCTTCAAAGCAAAGAGGGCTCAGAGTCTCTTTTTCCTCCCTTCCAGTCAAGCTCCAGGCAGGTGAGTTGCTGTGACTTTCTAACTTTGGCATTTTTGAACTCCGAATATTATCATTCCACGCTGTTTTCCCCTCGCCTGACTTGACAAAGTCTCGAAGTACTGGACTGTGCTGTGGAGAACTGGGAGGAGAACTGGTCCTTCTTTTAAATCTGCTGGATACTGGAGGCAAAATAGGCGATGATGTAACAGAAGGTCCTAGTTTAGGGATTTCACTTGACGGAGTTATCTTCTTACTGTCCTGTGTCTGAAGAAGCTGTTTTAATTTTGATGACAAATAAACACCTTTTTCTTTATGAAAAGGTAAGCTTTCTGTTGAAATGCTAAGAGGAAGATTTAAAGAACTAGTAGGAGTTATAGGTTCTGGGTCTATTTCAGTTTTTATTTTTGGTACAAGAGGAGGGCTGGCAGTTCTTCTCTTTTTGGATTCATTGCTCCCGCTGCTTGAGGGTTCCTTGGGAGGTTCATTCACATGTGTTTGTGTAACCTTTAAAGTTGGGGAAATTTCCACCGTGACTGGACTGATTATACAATTTAGTCCATATAAGTCTGCAGAGTTGGACTCCATCTGAATCACATCACAATTGCTAGTGCTGCTGTTGGACTGAATTTTACCATCAATGTAATAATTTAAATTTTCAGAGATATTGCTGGAAATATCCATAATATAGACATCATCTACTTCACCTTCCTCTTCTATTTCTGTACTTGCTATATATACACTCTGGACTGGTGGGGTCTGCTCTGTCTGAAGCGGTGGCTCTTCAGTAAAGAATCCTTTTCTTCTGACACCTTTGGGAATAAGATGACGCTCATGAACCCTACGCTGATGCCTCCGCATGTTGGTGTGAGTTCCAAAAACCTTCTTGCAGTATTTGCACGGATGCAATTCTTTGGGCTCCTTATTTTCCTCAGCAAAAGTGGAGTTTGACATTTCTTGGGGAACTTTCTCAGAATCCAAGACAACAGAGTCTTGTACGAGACTGGGAACATTCAGGTCATCTTTAAGACCATCATCCACAATTACTTGGTTATCTGCAACATTATCCAAGTGTTGTGATGACGTTAGTGTTAAGAACGGTTTCCTTTTTGGCCCTGCCTCATGGCGTCGCTCATGTCTTCGCCTGTTAATTTGAGTACCAAAGGCTTTCCCACAATATCGACACTTGAAAGCATGGTTAACAGTAGATATATGGATGTGCATGTGGCGTTCAAGTCCTTGCTTTGTTGTAAACTTCCTCTCACAATGCTGACAGGGAAACATGAATGTTTCCTGAACATCACCATTTGATTCACCTCTCGCTTTTGGAATTTTCACCACAAGTTTTTTCTTCGGAGAGCTTTCTGGAGATTCTTCTGATGTACTCTTTTGCTCTTCCATAGAATCTAACTTTTCTTCACATATCAAAGGCATTTCAGCATTTTCTTTAGGCATATTGGTATCTTCTATCTCCTCTTCATCTTCCTCTTCTTCATCCTCTTCCTCTTCATCATCATCTAAATCATCTGATGCACAGTTTACTGCCTCTCCTTGTTTCTCTTCAGTTACCATTTGTGGTTCACTGGTAGGACTGGGGATCATCAGCTTTGGAAGTACATCTTGATTTACCATTTCCTGAATCACGGCTGTTTGTTCCAGGGACAGCACGGCAGAAACAGAAGGTGTTTCATCTTCCTCTTTATGACCTGATACACAAAGTATGAAAAGAAAAGCATGAGATGTTTTTACCAAACACTTCAAAGCATGCTACACTTTTCTTCTACCTTTTCCTCTAACACATCATATCCAACATTTACGACCCAACACGCTACCACTCCTTCTCACTGTTGTGATTCAGTACTGAGAGTAAAACCGCATTCAGAAATTTCCTTTCTGGAACTTCAGCAAAATGTAGGCAATTGCCTATACTTAACAGAGAATCTTTGGATTGAACATTGTGGCCAAGAAACCCAAAATAGCCTGAAGAGTACCAGAACATTTCAAGATGCCTCCAAAAAACTTTTGCTGACTTTTCTTACAGCAACTAAGTGTCAGGAAAGTACCGCAATACACAAAGTATATAGGAAGCCTGTCAAGCAAATTTTGGATTTTGACCATTTTCCCCAAATTATTAAACAATCTGGATTTGTATTGTAACACATAGCAAGGTGTACCCTCGTACCTGGCATAGCACTTTCCATCCTTTGTATCAGATCTTCTATTAGCCATTGCCTGAACAGCTATTTTCTGCACTTCTGAATCAGAGCCTGCATGCACCTCATTTATTGGTGTGGACAGATTCTTCATTCACACCTCTGCATGGCAGTCTTACCTATCTGCTGTCAGATACATCCACTGCTGAAGAAAATAACTTTGCTGCCAATTCAGACAATGTTGCATAAATGGTATAGAGCAAAAAAAGTTCCTCTCCATTCCCTAGCTGGGGCCTAAGACGCCTGGAATAGCGATGCACGTGTTGTGTAAGCAGAAGGGACAACAGGCTGAAGGAATGGAAGAGTTATGGGTCAAAAGAAATTAAAGTAAAGAAGTTTGCAAGAAATCAGTACCTATACAGAGGTTTAAAGATTATCGGTCACACAGCAGTGGCAAGTTTTACATTCTTGTAAAACAAAAACCTATGTAGTATTTACAGTATCCTTCAGCCATTTTTCCATACATACTATGTGAAAAATGCCAAGCCAATTTATAAACAAACTTTGCGGTTAAACTTCAGGACAAATAGTATGTTTAGTGAGTCGGCACATTAGTACTGTATTTTTTCTCCCTTGACACCGACTCATGTTAAATGGCAATAAATAATGACTGTATAACTAAGCTCCAAAGACATTATCTTAGAATAAGGACTTGCTCTGCTCTTCTGTTCTACTGAGTTTGGATTTATGTCCAAATTTTACAGTACATTAGTTTTTCCTGTTGTCAGAGTTGCATGTTTAATGACATACTTCTGATATCCAAGTTCCTCACTAACAAAAAAGTTTGGGCAAACAATATAAACATGTTCACTTTGCTACACTAACATAACATGCTAACATACTAAACATGACAAAAAGTGTCCTTTGATTCAAAAGAATAGTCAGAAGGAAAAAAATAAGATACTTGAGAACTCACCCTCTTTCGAATCCCTCATATCTGCAGAAGTAGAATCCAAATCAGCCTTTTTCTGTTTTGTATCCGCTGCCTTCTTTCCCTTGTTTTTACCTTCCTGAGACTTTTTCTTTCCTGGGGAGAAAAAAAACCCAACATTTATTACTCCTGTTCAGCAATTTTTATTTTTCATATTTGAGTGGCAGAATTACACCCAGCTTTGGAATACAACACACTCCTGTAGAAACCCTATTTTCCTGAGGACTACATCATTCAGATAAAGCAGTAAGTCTCTAGAGCCTAGAAGAAATTAAAAGTAAAGACAGCAGTGAGTTTCTAAAAGCCTAAGACTCCGAAACACCTCACTCACTCTCAAAGCAAGAACAGACTATAACAGAAATGTATTGTCCAGAGTTAACCAGCTCACATCAATACAGTTACCCAATACCTTCATATGGCTATTAAATTACTGTATCTCATACCAGTAGACTGAAAGTACGAAATTTCTTCATGTACTATTAATCCTTAATGTTAATTGGAAGACCTTACGAAGTAGAAACCCATAGAGGCTTCTCTACTTGTATGAACATTCTGAATAATGACTTGAAGAAAGTTATAATAAAAGCAATGAAGTAATAATATTATGAGAAGAATAAAAGCAGCATGATCTTGACCAACAAGGCAAAGCCAGTAAAACCAAACTAGACAGAACAGGGTAACAGTAGAATATAAATGTATTTCATCGTGTCCACTGACACAAACAAGTTTGCTAACGCTTTCTGTTTGCATAATTAAGAAGCATGTATTAGTTGCACAGGATGATGAACACAATGAAGATGAGGACAAAATGGCATTATGTGAAGACCTAATCAGTGACACAAGATGTAAAGACATTGAAAGCTTCATTTACCAATGCACTACAAAGTTATATTGCTAATTTTTTCCATTAATCTTAAAGATTCAGCCCTATAACATATAGAACTTATGACAAGGACTGTGTAGTAACAAATGAAACTTTAAGGTCTTCCAATTCGATTCACTGCAAAGACTATATTCTCCATACGGAATGGTTATTTCTACATACAACACTGTGGCTGAGGACACATCTCCTCTGAAACTTCACACTTCTACACACCACCTCTTAGGAATGAAAAGTGTCCAGAAGCAGCAATCCAAATTCCTCCTTTGTTCCCTCTAACACATTAAACCGCTACTGTTTAACACAGTGAGCCTTCCCTCTAAGCAGAGGTGTGCATCACAGCCCTAAATCCACTTCTTATTTAGAAGCACATTCTTCCAACTCACAATCCTGTCAACAAGCTCCTCCTCTTTTTCCTGAAAAGTATTTTTCACATCTTGAGCAAAGGAACTGAAATGCCTTCTAAAAAAATGATCCTGTATTCGAACTGAAAATTTCCAAGTATGCACCCCCTCCAACAGAACAGATCAGAGACAGGACAGCTTTAAAAGGAAATGCTTGTTTCTGTTTGAACTTTCTATCTAAACAATTACCTGTATTTCCTCTCAAGGAGCTCAGGTTTCACAGGCTTTTCCCAAATTCCAGTGTGTTTCACTTGTATGTATGTAATTACCCTTTTTTATTTTCTTACTCCAATTTAACAGTTTTTAGTCCACGAAACTGACAACGGTCACTCAGAATGAATTTTTGTCACCTTTGGAAAATACACACGCACCCTTCCTAAAGCGAACTAGCAATTACCTCACAACATCCTCAAATATTGTAACAATCCCTGTGTCTAAACCTACCATAATGAATCAACACTGCTTTATCTGACAATACAATATTCAATTTTGTAGCAAATATCTGCAAGTTGTCAGAAGATTTAGCATATATTTTAGCATTCACACAGGCATAAGGAGTTTAAGCGCATCTTTCCCCGACAGGCTACTGATGTCCAATTTGAACATAATTTTCTATTACCAGCATCTCTAACACTTGTAATTACAACCAGTAGTACCAAGATCTGAGTATGAAGGATTTCAGATAAGTTTCCAGAAATATCTGCCAATTGCTGAAAATTGCTGAAATCGCTCTTGAAATGTACAGTAACACAATCAACCAACAGTTTCGTTTCTAGGTAAAATGGTCTAAATGTGAAATTTCAGTACGTTCCTAGGGAATCAAGCATGCATCACAATATACCTTAGGAATAACGTAACAAAACGTACTTAATTGCTAGAACCCTTTAAGAGTTATCAACTTTTTTGCGGATCCCTTATCATTTGAAGACCAACATCAGTATCTCAACTTAAAATGACAAAATTCTATATTCATCTCTCATCTCTACAGGTGAGACTGGAAACAAGAAGGAAAAGACTGGTCTACAGGCCCCTCTCATCTATGCCAAACTCAGCCACAGTCAGAGCCAATGTTTTGCTAGATGGTGCAGCATATGATGATATTGCAGACAAAGTCACTAGGCAATTCTAATCTAATTCTATAGCAGCACTGAATTTCAGCATGATGACAGGTTACTGTAAAAGCCTCCAAACCAAGATCCAGTATATTGTGCTCTTTAAAGTGTGAAGTATGTAAAAGCAACAACAAAAATCCCTCCTAAGTGCTCAAGCATGCATACATTTTCCAAAATGTCGTCCATTTATAGAATGTAAAATTTATAGCACCTCAAATCCAATTATAATCCGATAAATCACTAGAATAGCAGGATTTGTATGCACAACTGAGTTAACTTAAGTCACATACTTCCTTACGCTATTGATGAAAGATCATTTGCAAATTCTCCTGCCACACTCCTAAAAAAAAAAAGATGCAACCTGCTCAGGGTGCAACCTGCTCACTGATACAGTTGGAAATGTTTCAAGTTCTCGGCCTTTAAGCATAAACGCATTTGAAGAATATTCACTGAGCACCTACTTGCCCTTACTCAGAATAGCGAGCAAAACTGCTTGCATACATACATAATTTTAGATGTGTCACATTAATTTCTGACACACAACAGCTAGAGACACAAACTGATTTTTGATGTTTTCCTTTTAGTTCGTTCTTTTTCTAGGTTGTAGTTTTCTTTGTAATGGCTAAAAGAGTCCACAATACTCAAGCACAGCAAAGACTGTCCCAGATGCATCTACTTCATGGCCTTGAATGTTCAACAGCAGATGCCCAGGAAGAGAATTTAAGAGTAGAGTAATAGTAAAGTGATACTTCATTGGTATGCTTTTCATGTATCTAGAGGTCAGGAACTTTTGAAGATATTTAATAGCTTTTGATAGACTTTCCTCCACGAGTTCTCAAAGTGCTTTTTAAATCCATGTAAACCTGAAAGATTTGCATCATTTTCTTCCTGCAGATTTTCAGTGAAAAACGCAACCTCCTATTCTGATATAAAGGATATCAATGAGTAGCCCAAGGCCTGTCCCTTAATTTTCTTACAGTTTAAGATGTCAAGAACTAACAGAAGCCTGCAGGAGGGGAAAATGCCTCAAAATACAGAACCTGGTGGAAGCCTGAGTATAAGTACACACGTGCACTTACCATCAGGTTCCTGAAGGGTCCTACATGGCTGCTACTGCCAGCTGGATCCTCCACTTGGTCTAAACAAGAAAGATACAGGAATGAAACACAGGGAAAGTGAAATGGAAACAATGACAAAAGAATAAATGAAGGGCAGAACTTAATATATGTATATGTGCTTTAAAAGAATTGCAAGAGAAAGATGCAAAGGAAAAATGAATGAAAGAAACAGATGGAAAGTAGCTACTTGTCTATAGCGACAAAGATCAAAAGAGGAATGCATCAATTTGTCTTGCAACTTATTTAAATACGGCTCCTTTTTCTCCCCCCTTTGCTTCACTTATGTTGCAGACAGGTCAGCAGGAGCATTATCTGCCTTTACACCTTTACAATACCTGTGTAACCCTCAGCACAAACACTGCAGCAGGCACAGGAGATGCTACTGCCAACGTCCAGATAATCGGCTGATACTTATGCTGCAGTCCCACTTACTTCAGAGGAGTTCAGGTGACCACAGAGTAAGAATTTAAAAGACAGAAGTAATCTTTATTTGCCCATACTCCATTTTACTGATCAAATCAAGACATCTCAAAACAACCTACAGTTATCTGTGCTCGTATTTTTTGCTGTTAACCAAAATACTAATGGAACTGTACAACCATCAAGTTATTTCTGGCGGGATGGGATAAGCATACTCAGATGCCAGGAGGGAAGAAGTTAAACGCAGTCTTTTCATACACTTGGAACTGAATTCTATAATTAAATATTGCTAAATTGTCTAAGATGCTATTATCTTTAATAACCCTTAAGTGCAGCACCAAACATGTTCACAGTTAAGATCATAAAGTAAGGAGGACACTCACATCTGATCTCAAACGTTGGTTTGATCACTTAGAAGAAATATGAAAGACAGACGTGTCTCCCCAAAAATCTTGGGCTAATAAGGGAAAAGAATTACTGGCATGAGTTTCCAGTATTCCTTTGAAATCCATAGCCAACAACTGCCAACTCGTAACATATTGACCCCATACCCCACCCGTGCTGTTGCTTCAAAGTACCGCAGCTACCTGCCCAGATCTCAAGTCTCCTGGAAAACAGCGGAGACGCGACCTCAGAGACCCAGTGGAAAGTACTCTGAGGGCACAGACGAGTGTAACCACCTTCGAAGGGTATGGCTGAAGGGAAAAGGACACATCTCCCTGTTATACTCTGACAAACAATGATTTCCGCAGTGTTTCATGATGCGAATTACAGTGTAATAATACAAACTGACTAGTCAAATCCCTTTGGGACTGGTTCAGTTGAGTGAAAGTTTGTAATCCTACACAGTAGTTCCTACTATTCTACAAATCAACTTTTGATTTTTTTTTTCCCCTCCCATCGGAAAAAAAAATCAGTATTTTGGCATTGGAGAGAATGGAATAAAGATTAAATGTATATACATGCTAAAAAAATCTTATGGAAAATTCAGCAGAAGACAACTGCATGACCATTTCCACATTATTTTGATTAATGAATTCTAAAATACTGATGCAACTTGGTTTTTAATTTGAGAAACAGTTTGCTGTGCACCAGAATTCCTCTGTTCCTGTATCCAGAATACTGGTAGTTGTCATGCTTTTAGAAGTAAATTC